AAAAAAGTAAATCAGAGCTAAAAAAGTGCAAAAACGCAGGCAAATTTGCCTGCGTTGGTCTATATATTAAGGGATAGTGAAATTTATATATAAAAAAAAAATTTTTATCTAGGTGACTGGTGGATCGCCTATTAAATAAAATATTCAAGTAAATCTTTATTAAAATAAATCATAAATTTAGACTTTACATCTAGTTCAATAATATTGGTTTGAATATTTTTGCTCAAATTATAGCCTTTTTTATCTATTTTTTTTGTCTTGTACTTAGGAATATTATGTTAATTATTCTTATTAGTAATTTTTAAATACCTTCATTTAATACTTGCACTTTTAGTTTTTCTTTGCTTTACAGATTCTACTTGCACAAAAATTTTTTTGCCACCTCTAACACATACCAAAAAATCTGAATTATGATTAATCTCATATAGAAAGGTAGTTAACTATGCAATTGACTATGATTTAGCAGCCTTATATCTTTCTGAAAATTTATTAAGTGCTATGCAAAGTTGAGGATTCTGTTTTTTATAATCCTCTTTCATTTCTTTCAAGAAATTGACGAATAAATTCCTTGCTTGGTTTTTCAATTCTTTAATTTCTGGTATATTATTAGTTTCATATTCCAATTCTTCAATTTGTATTCTATTTTTTTAATTTCTAGTAAATTATATTTCAATTCTTTAATTTTAAATGAATTATCAAGTTGATAATCCAATTTTTTAATTTCAGATAAATTATTAGCTTGTTCTGATTCTTCATTGCTATAAGTAAATAATTTAAAATTTTTGTTAACAAAATTTATACATACTTATATACATATGTATATAATATTGCAAATATATACCTATTCAGTATATTATTAATACTCATTGTTGTATCATTTAATATAGTATTGATATACATTCTTGTATCTTGTAATGAATTTATGTTTTTATTTGTAGCAGACTTCACATACAAATATGCATAAAAAAATAATCCATTGTATCTAAGCCTTTAAATAAACTTTAAATATTAATAAGTTATATTTGAAAATTTATTTTAAAATTATTATTATTTACTAGTTGTGATGTAAGAGTAAACTCTGTAATTATTTGCTGTCATTGAAGAAAGAAAATTTATTGCTTCAATATGGTATTTTACTGCCACTACACCTTGATGTTTGTAGGGTGCTTCTAATAGTCCAATAATACAACTACAAGTTCCAATTGTACTACTAACAATATAAAAAATGTTTGTTTTTTCACTTGGAATCTAATACTCATCACTATTAGGTAATTTTTTAATCAGATCTGCATTGATATTTTTTCAACCTGGGCAAAAAAAGCCTTTTTGCAATTCTTATATGATCTGTATAATTATGTGCAAACCCCAATAATTTGTATTTATAAAACCTTTTCATATTTTCTACAATAAATCGAAAAACCTGTACTGGGTTAAATGCTTGAGTTCTTCTAAAAATTATATCCCAAAGCTACACTCTACATAATTATTAGTATAGTTGCTATACAATAAAAGACTAGATCAAAAGAAATATTGTTGACGGTTTCAAAGAACTTCTAAATACTTTGTAAGTAATAGATGTTGTAGCTGATGCTAAAAATGGCTAATGCTAAAATTTGGGGTTTCTATTTAAATCTATAATATCTACTAAAATTCATATATACTTTTTTATTAATAAAACTACTTTACTAACCCAAACCTAACTATGAAAAAAAAATGTAAAAAAAAAGACCCAAAAATTTTTTATAATTTTATAATAAAATATGAAAAAATTTTAGCATCAGCTATTTTCAGTATCAGCTACAACAATGAATATTGCTAATAATTATTTCTTAACTCTTGATAATGGTTATCTATTTCAGTTATCGTTTGGGCATAAAGAATTTTTTTATTTTACTCATAATTAAAACTTGGTACACTTTGTTGATATTATATTTAGCATTATAGAGCCACTGCTAAAATGCTTGAAAAAGTGAAAATGTATATAAAAGTTGATTTAATTGTAGCCAAGAAAACTTCAAAGTATTTCATTCTGCAGCTGAATTATCTGTTAAAAAAGTTTGTGGTTCTACATTACAGCTGTAACCAAAAAATATATACTTAGATAAAATAGTTTTTAATTGGTAATCTACTAGTTAACTAGAGAATAATTATAGTAAAATATAATTCAAATTACTTATAAAAATTGGGGTCTCTAAATGTAGTATGTACACATTTAAAACTTTTTTTTATACTAAGTTAATTACTTTTCTAACTTAAGAAACTTTTGTAAAGCTTGTCAAAATGTATCTAATGGTAGTTAGAGCATTAAAATCAGCTTGGTGGGTGCCAAGATATCTTTAAAAAACATTTCTTTTACTATGTAAACTTCTTTGCAAACAATAGTATTGTTTGCAAAAAAGTTTATATAGTAAAAAAAATGTGTTTTAAAGATATCTCAGCACTCACCATGCCAATTTTGACGCTCTAACTACCATTAGATGTGTCTTGACAAGCTCTACAAAAGTCTCTTAAGTTAGAAAGGTGATTAACTTAGTATAAAAAAAGTTTTAGATACGTGTACACCACATTTGGAGACCTTCAATTTTTATAAGTAATTTGAGTTACTTTTTACTATGATTATTCTCTGGTTGACTGGTGGATCACCAATTAATACATTCAAGTATGTATATTGGTTATCAAGTGAAATTTATTCTAATTTTTTTAAACTAAAATTCAATATAATTTTTAATATTTTTAATTTCATTTTTTTTTCCTTTGTGTTATTCTCTGAGAATCTCAATTAGTAGCACAGCCCAGAAATACTATATCCAAAAGACATATTAATTATTTTGAATATAATAAACTTATATGTAGTGAAAAAATTGAGACCAGAGATTTAAAACTATTTCTAAATTTGATTAGAAAGATTGTGGATGAATTGTTGATCTTAAATACCTTAAAGATCAATACAAATTTTTTGGCTAGTATTAGTTATATTTTTCAGTTGTAATCTGAAATTCTTTAATACAGTTGCACTATTTGTTCATTTTTGTATAATTCTTTAAGGATTACACAACAGATACTTATTTAATATGAATTATATAGTTTTTATATCCTATCAATAATTGCGGATTATTAAAGATCGACATCTTGTTTATATGTATTAAAGATAAATTAAGTAGTCTAGTTATATAATTTATAAATTAATAAGTGTGAACAAAATAAATAATGTTTATATTCCTAAGCTCCATAACTCAGCAGTTGTTATTTAGAGGTAGCTCTCATACACTATCTGCTAACTTTCTCAGAGTTTATCACTCACCGTGGGGGCCAGGCTCTTGTCGTTTAGAAATAGTTCTCATATGCTATTTGCTAACAAGCCTAGAGTTTATTACTTATCTGAAAAAATAAGGAGAGTACTTGTGCCTTTCTATAGATTCAGTGTGTTGAGTAAAGAAAATACATACTCCTTTATTAAACAAAACAAAGTGGTTTCATCTTTTTTCTCCACCTTTTCACTGCTCTTCCAAAATTTCTCACAAAAGTGGACAAAACAGCTTACCCCTCAAAAGATCGGCATTGTTTACACCTACCAAATCTAAATAGTTTCGGCAGACTGCGATCACATGTTTGGTTTGTTTTGTTTATGAACCATGCTGCTTCACATAATACTGAGGTTGGCCACTTACATCGTTTAGGAGTCTGGATAACCTAGTTGAAAATTTTATTTGATAAGACAAAGCTTTATACTAGAAATATACAAATACCGTATTTGTTATATAATTTTTTTTAGCTGAGTATAGGTAATAGTAGTGGTAAAAAGACAGAATTTTCTGCTGTTCTTTTTGTTTTCTTTTCTTTGTCATTTTCTCTTTTATATTCTCTTTCATATTTGTGTTCTTTCTTTTTGTTTTTTTTTGTTTTTTCTTTTTCCTCTTTGTTTTGTCATTTTCATTTTATTTGTATTTTTTGTTATCTTATCCTCTTTTGTTGTATACTCCTTTGAAGAAGGAAAAATGTTAAGAAAAAGGCAATTTTGACAAAGCTAGCAATAAGCTTTCAGTGATTTTTTTGAGAAGTCATCTAGTAAGTTAAATGCTAGAGAGGAGTAAATTATTGCTGCAGCAAATCATACTTGGGCACTATTACGAGCAGCTGAGTAAGTCTTTATTAAAGAGTAGAAGGGTGGAAGACATTGAGTTTATTGCAAGCTTTTTGTTCAGAAATCATGTATTTAGATTATACACTCCTAATACAATAAAGGCAGAATTGCCAAATTATAAAAAAAGTAAAAATTCCTAATATTTAATAAATCTTTTAACTAGGACAATAATTATAACACAGCAGTTTTAGTCCATAATTTGAAATAAGAACACCAGCCAAGTAAGACTATATTATGAGGACTTGTTGAGGCAATTTATTTAGGAGGTTTGGAGAGCCAAGAGCATACAACAAAAAATGATAGCATTTTTAATACTTTAAGAAATTTGTTCTACTAATAATATTGGCAAATTTTGCTTGTAAACCTATTAACTCTTGAAATGAAAGTTCTTGTCTAGTTAAAAATTGTGTTTTTCAATATAATACTTATTTAATAGTAAATGAAAATATTAACTCATTATAAGTTGCGAAATTAGTCTTCTCTCTAATATTCTTCATCATCAAAAACAAATATATGAAGTTGTTCTTGAAACACTAATCTACATAAGCCAAAATCAGTAATAAATTGTAATATATATAAGTTAAGTATTTTTATATTATTCTGTAAATAAATAATAACATATGTATATATCTGTAATCAATATAAATATCAATAGATGTAATTTAAATAAATAATAACAATAAGTAATCGATTGCAATTTAAAAGCAGGGTTCAGTATTTATTTCATATTTATTATTAATTTGCATATACAAATTATTTTATTTATTCTATTTACTCTGCTTTTCATATTCTAAAAAACTATCTAATACATTATAACAAACAATCCAAATTCTTGAGCAAGACAGCTTAAGATGTTTCTTCCATTGGAGGTTCTGAATTTTTTTCAATTTCCAAGTCAATAATCTCATTAATTAACAAAGTTGTAAAATAATTTGATATATCTGACAAAGTCTCGTTATCATTATCTATCTGATTTTCTTCATAACTCATAATATTACTAACTGAAGATAGATTACATGCATCTTGAAGATCAGCCTCTGTCAATTTTTTATTGGGAAAGCTTAGCTTATGCTGAATATTTGTTGTATAATATGATCTAATTTTAGATATTCTCTCTAGCCTGCTTATATTCAAATTAATTTAACGATCTTCTAAAATCTACTTTAATGATGAGAAATTTTTTTCACAACTTGCTTGTGTAGAATTAATTAAAAAAATTTTGCAAGCTAGCTCAGCTAAATGTCGAGGTTGACTTTAAAAGACTCTACCAAAGTTTGGAGTATCTATACCTAAAACATAAAAAAGATTAAATAGTAGCAATTGTGCCTCAAACTGTCACATTTGTGTGATTAATTCATTACTTTCTAACTTAGTATACCCTAGATTTTGCCAGATCTCAATAGATATAAAAGCTACTTGATGAAATCTATTGTCTTTTAGACTCTTTTCTAAAAATTTATATTTTAAATTATATGTATAAATAAAATTAATCTATTAATTAAATAAAATATTAACTTGCCTTTTTTATTAACAATAATGAGTGCATTAATTATAGTAATTTACAAAACTTGTTTGCTTATTTAAATATAATTTTTAATTATACATATCTCTATACTGTGGATGAATATAATATGCCAAAATATAAAGTAGATATAGAAATTCATCATATCATCGATTAAAAATACAGACTGCAAAAGTTTTAAAGGTATTTATTTTAGAAAAACATTTAATAGCTATGGCTAACTTGATTAAATATGCAAAACAATCTGCTAATATTGCCGTATTGGTTTCTAATACATAGATTACTTCTTTAATAGATGCTAAATAGAATGCACTAATTGGCACGTAATAAAAAAGTCTTCGTTAGCTATTAAATTAGCTATTTCTTGATTTGTAATTGCCTCAAGATGCTCAAAAAGTAACTAAAAAATAAATTTAATTTTATAATTATTAATAATATATAATTATTATATATAATAAAAATATATATCATAATTTATATTTACCCAATCAAATATAGGCCATGCATGAAGCATTGAATTGGTAGTAAATATAAAGATCCTCATCGAGTTTTTACCCAGGCTTTTAGCCTGCTACTCTTAATTTTTATATCAGTGAATCCCTTAATAAGTAATGAATAGCTTGAATAAAAAGAATTAAAAAAATGATTAATTTTTCCACTATTAGCAATTAGTTTTTTTAATTTGTCTAACTTAACCAAATCAGTAGCAATAAGGTTAACCACATGAGCTGCACATTGGATATTCCAAATATGTGGATACATTTTCTGTGTTTTTTGATGTGCTAGATTACAATTTGAAGCTGCGTCTGTGACTACAGCTACAAACTTATCTGAGCCAAGTTTTTCATATTTAATATTTTATTTGCCAAAAATTCACCTGTATAAAAATAGGATAAATAATTTTTTAATCTAACTAAATACTCTTTTTGTATATCTTAGTGATAATATAATTATAAATTAACTCTATTGTTGGCGATGTCCAACCATCTAATGCTTTATTAAATAATAATAAATTATTATATATTTAGATATAGTTTAATATATTAATATATAGTATGCAATATATATACATCTGTATGTTACTTTGATCATTTGCATTATATTACATATATGTATACTAATGTATATATATATTAGTTTAAAGATACTGTATATATTTCATGCAAAAATTATATTATTTCTAAAATATATAAAAATTTTATCTTATATATAGTAAGATATATCTCTATACTAATTAATTTTAAAATAATATTTGTTCTCTTATTCTTTAATATTAGTAAAACTTAATTTTTTGGCGTAATTTAAATATCACTTAATGCTAGCACATGACTTTACGGACATGCATGTCCATGAAGTTATATAATGAATTGTGCTATTCAAGATATTAAATTTTTAAAATTTATTCATAATTTTATACTAACCTAAAGTCAAATAATCAGCTCTATCTATATCTTTATCAATTACACAATTTATTTGTGCTATTTTTTTATCCAGTAATTGGCCTAATAAAGTTGTTCTTGATAGTGAATTATATGCAAGTAAAAACTCTTTAAATATATCTTTGACAAATAGATTTTTGATAACTTCAAAAGGAATCCTGCCATCACCCAAGCTTTAGCTATTTTTTGATCGAGTCAATTGACCACTGCTTTTGGTAATGGATAATTAGATAAAAAATAAGATATTATTGCCGTTTGATTTGGTAAGGCTTTTTTTTCATGTGTAGTAAGAATTTCTTGTAGCAACTTTTTTTCTCCAATATCTTTAGAACAATTAGGGCATTTATTTGCTAAAATTGCTTCTAATATTACTAGTTTTCCTC